TTTTTAACTCTTGCAAATCGACAACGCCTGCCTTGAGAGGGTTAACAACTTTTACCATGGAAATGAAAGTACTACATTATCTTTTAAATGCAAGCAGGCTTTTACAGAATCAGTGTTGGGATATATTTAGTGGGACAAACCCAGAGAATCAATCTTGGATCCCATTCTCAGCTTTTTGTGGCTGTAACAAATTTCAAATTCATTTAGAGTTATGCAGAAATCACTACCGACAAGTCCTGTGCTATTAACATACTTTGGCTAAAAAACAAATTATTTAAAAACATGTATAGTGTGCTCATTTGGTATATTTTCCTGAAATAAAATTGTTTTAATTCAGTTATTATTAACTAACAGTGATGAGGGATTCTTTCAGGATGGGCCTACTGCTCGTACTCAGCTTAAGGTCCATGCAAAATCCACAAAGGGTGATGGGCAGCAGGAAAAAAAAAATCATTATATTCATCATGTTTCTTTTCAGTACGTTCACATGTGAGCTGAGTGCTCTGGCTGAGAGCACAGAAGCCAAAATGCCTTAATGTTCAAATATTCTTGTTGTGAAGTTAGTTAGTTTAAAGCAGTGGTTTTTAAACTGTGGGTCCCACTAGTGGGACATGGATGACCAAAAAGGAATATTAACAGGTATCTGCTTCTGTACTCGGATACGCCACTTTTCTAATATCTAGCATTGGAAAATGTGCTAATTACCAATATATTCAAAAAGGCATTTATGTGTGCAGCACAACCTCCCACACTGAGGGGGAAAACAATTAAACAATTAAATCATGAGGGTACAAAGCCTGTAATATGCGATGGTGCCTGTGGAAAAACTAGCAAAAGTCGGCTAGCTTATCTAGCATGGGACAACTTCCTATCTTAGAACTTTGTGGGATTATGGAAACGGAGATTTCTACACTAGCGCTTTGTTCTCCAGTACTCAACTTCTACCACACAATAGGAGGCCATTACGACATACGCTTTGTCAGTGTCTGTGTACAACTAAAAACTCTTGTTTGGGCAGCAAATAGCAAAATGGCACCACCTTATGGAGCTGTTCAGCAACTGTATTTTACAAGTTAATTATTAATTGAGATAAATTCCAAATAAGGCAGACCCCTAAATCCAATAGTTGAAACAACAAATAAAGTCACAAAAAATCATGCAAAGTCCTTGCTCAGGTTTCTGACCGTTTTTTCCAGTTTCTGGTTCTGTACTAAAAAAAAAAACATCTGAAAAGGTTCTGTTTGGTCTGTTTGAGCCTTTTACTGTTTGTAAATTAAACTTTCAAAATAAAAAAAAGATGCAACAAGAAGCTGCAAATTAAAACAAATTAAAAATATTCAGAAATTATGAATTTAATTTCTCATTTATTTTCATTACATCGTGTTCTGCAATCATCTTTTCTACATTTTTGGTCAACCATTGAAACTTTAATGCAGTATTATGGACTTGGATTAAACAGAAAGTTGGCAGAACATGTTCAATCTAGCATTACTATTCCATAAAATACTTGGAGAAGTGAAAGTGAAGACATGTCACCTTCACAAGGACCAGTAGTAACTTTTCTGGTCCCAGAGGTCCATCTATAATGCCGACATCCCCAAAAGCCCTCGACTATGTTTGGTTTGAGATGCTTTTTGAGTGTTTTGTAATTAAAGTCAAGTACTCGAGACTTCAAGCACTTTTCTTAAAAGATTTCTGGTCAGCGAAGACCCATCAACATGCAGTTAAAGCCTAAATGTCAAGCAAATGAATCAAGAGCAGTCTTAATACCAAAAGGGTGAGGAAAGCAAAGTATTAGTGGGTTTACCACGATCTTTAATTTCCCTCCTCTCTTCCCTTGGTCTTTGGTGTGGACCAAGCTGATTCTTTCATCCTATGGTCACAGATTCTCAGCCTCGCCTGCTCTGACATGGTTTACACATTTAGCAGAGTGTTTACGCTGCACATTTTTATGACTAGTTAGAGCAAAACATACTGTAAGGATGGGGATTAGGCAGCTCTGCTCTGTAGAACAGAAACGACACAAAGCAGGGGAGTTGCAGACGCATGCACGTATACATCCTCCACAATTCATTTAAGATGTTCATTACTTTGACCTGTAACCTTGAGTCTTGCTGTGATATAAAAGGCTCTAAATGGAAATCCTCATTAGCACAGTTCTGTTTGCTTGTCTATTTTTTTTTCTTCATTTTCTTTAACGGTAATTCCCACAATTCCCAGAGAGTCAGAGTAGATAGAGATCATGAGGTTTCAAGGTGAGGCTTGGCCTTCCTTGCAGTGCGGTCATATGACAGTCCAGCTGTCCTCTTTCTGTTAGTTTTGAGACGGTAATCTTCCTCCCTGTCTCAACGATTTTCTTTATCTCCCTCACCTCCACTGTCTAGATCCTGTCCTTCATTCTTCACTCTTTACGTCTCCTTCCCAGACAGTTTTCTTTCCACTCACACTATTCCAAATTAAGAGGGAAACTCTGTGATGAATTCCCATAAAAAGCTTTTTA